CGTTCACAAATCTCAGCATTTACGAAAGCTTGAAGTTAAATATTTTAATCGCACAAACGAGTAACTGTGGACAAGTTTGTCCTCCAAGCACACCCTGAAAGGACACACCAGTGTCTCAATTTCCACCTGGAAATTAGCCAATCGGTGCTCAAAGGTGGGAAGCGACAGCCAATCAGCTCGCACGACTTTACAAACTACGACAAGTCGCTTAGCTCAAACTGTGCAACTGAAATTATCGCGATTGTTTAAGTCACTCAAAATGTTTTCAGGAGCAAAAGGCGAAACAGTTTATTAACAATTAAGTTAACTGTTTAATACTGTAAACTTAAGCTGCTCTTGATAACGTAACAAATCCGACTGGGCTTCAGTCTCCACCATGCTCCGGTGCTAACACACCAGCGTGACTTTCATCAGTACCGTTAACCTCATTAACAGCAACTCAAAGTTGTGGTAACTCAAAGTTACTGTTTTGAGGTCAGGTTAGAAGTAAGCAAAGAGAAAGTTTGTCTTAAACAATGGCTGTTGACCTTTCAGGCCATCAAGTCACAAGAGGACATCGCTAACCTACATATTAGCTGCTACCTGGGAGCAGATGCTAAACCCCGGACAACAGCAGGCCGTGTAAAAATCCTTTGACCTCAGTCTGAGGTTAGCTGACCAGCTATTGGGGCTACACTAACCGCAGAGCAACCAAGCTCCACCATAAAACACAAGGTAACGTCAACCTTCAAATAACGTTTGTTCATTGAGCTAGCTGCAAAACGTGACAGTTCATGCGACCACGTAGGTGGTGCTTAACGAACTGATCGTCCACGTTACTGCCTTTTACCTGTTGCGGGTGGACAGGACTCCCAGGGACGGGGAGATGTTCCCCAGGCAGTAGACCATTTTGCTGGACTTGAGCAGAGCCATCGTTGCTGCGTTCGGGAGGCGAGCCTAGAAGGATGTGGACGGATGTGAACGGATGTGAAGGACAGGCGAGACCACGCTCCTACGATCTGAATACGCGCTGACGTCAGAGCAGTCGCCAGTGATCGTACGGTGTCGTTTCGTCTGTATTTATAGCGGAGAAGAAGGAGAAGAAGCGTGAGTAATTTGTTATACATACACACAGAAACCAGGTAGTAAAACTCAGTAGCGGTTTTTGATACGGGCGGTT